GCTACTACGTATGTGAAACCTTTTCACCCAATCTGTGCAATAGAATTGTGGTTGGACGTAAGAGAGTGCGTAGAGTTTGTAGATAGTGATTTCATTTGGAAAGCTTATGTGAATTTGTGCAAGAAAAGTTGTATATTGAGTCACTTAGGTAACGTTGGGTTTGCTTGGTATTCATGTGCATATTTTTCTACTGTGCTGTCATTAACATCCAGGAAAGCTGACTTACTTTCAAGTGCGCATCCAGACAGGCAATGCCAACTGTGAGCAGTGGGTGGTAAGTATACACATTCCCTGAATAAATCATAAAATGTGAATGTGTCATCCAGACAATCTCTACTTTCCGTGTACTGATCGAGCACATGCATTAGCTTTATACTCTTGCTCAGATTTTGAAACCCGTAAGTATAATACACCTCAGAGCCCTAACCCTCGGCGCGCATGCGCAGCGAGGGTTACGGTAGTCGTTCTGTCATTCTGTCTGTCTGTCCGCGCGAGTTCTCGCACTACAGGCTACAAGGCGGCCAATGAGTGGCATCAACGGGTTGTGAACAACGAGAAGATGGATATTAATGTGTCGATTTTCCTGAAACGACTGCGTTCCAGAGATATGGCATGAAAACAAGCGAAAAAGCCAACGTGCGGTCGATCGCGCACGCGCCCTCTCCGGCATGCGCACGCGTCATGTCAATTTTTCGCCGGAGCATGCGCTACGCCACATTGGTTGTTATGATCCACAGGCTTCTCTTTGGATAAACATGCTGAGCAAGGTATATTCGCAATGTAGCATAATAGTTCAGGTGGCGAGCAGTTTGTGGATGCAGCCATGCCTTCCCAGAGCATTGGAGCACAGAAGAGCGGATAGAGCAAATATGAGAGCCTCTGAAACACGTCAGCAATTGCTCTAACCAACTACCCTGTGTTACGGGGAGACTCGTGTTACTGGTTCCGTCGTCCGCCAGCATACAGCGATACTATAACTCGCGCGTTTAGGGCCGAGGGTTTGCACTTTAGTGCTTTTCATTTTAAAAGCATCTCAAATTTTGAGAGCCCTGACTATTAAATGCAGGTACAAATTAACCCTCGGTGCACATGTGCAGCGAGGGTTACAGTACTTGGTGTGTCTGTCTGATTGTCGTCAGCTGTTCTTACACTACAGGCTACGAGCCGGCCTATAACAGCTTAAGAACTATGCAAACCTTTAAAAATGGAAATGTCAATTTTCCAGAAACGACTGCATTTGAGAGATATACTGTGAAAACAAGAGAAAAAGCCGGCATAGCAATCTAGTCAGTTTGAGAGTGCATCTGCGCCACACGCACTAAAACATAGGCGAGGCATGGGAAATGAAAATGAAAATTGCAAGCTGGACTTGATGTAGCTATATACTACTTATCACAACACAAAGAAACTTAAAGCACAAATGGTTGTAGGAAGGAATAGAGTCAGCTCAAACTTTTGTGCAACGTGACAATTTTATTCCCATTATTCCCTTAGTGCTATTGTATCCGTCACAGTAAAGGTAGAGTATAGTTTTATTCCATGGATAACATGAAGTGGGGCTATAACTATAGTGCACATTAACTTTTGTCTGGTCACTGATAAAGAAAGCCATGAAGCCACGTTGAATGCCTCGTGTTCTCAGGCTGAAGAAACAGAGGGCAACCTGAGCCAGATACAGAAGAGTATGTTGCTACTCTGCCAGTGTCAGCCCCAGCTGAGCCAGGGAGAGTTCAGTTGCCGAACAGGCCCACCCAACACCGTCACTTACAGAGCCAGGATCATGGGGACTTCCCCACGGAGTGCAACTGAGGTGGTGGCCATCATGGGAGCCTGGGTCCAGACCAACAAAGGCTCAGTCCTGATAGACAGACTGCGGTACTATTTGGACCCCACCTGTGATCCTACTCTTGAGAACATCCATGGCCCAGACTGCTCAGTGGCTGAAACACCTACCACCCAACCCATAACCTCCCCAACGAAACCTGGCATTGATACTGAGGACCCGCAGTCTGAGAGATGCACTGGTGATGATAATGGAGGTGATGGGGCTACCGCCGGTCAAGTGTCAGGGATTCTTCTAGGTGGCATCATTGCCGGTTTGTTCACTACACTGATTATCATCATTCTCTTCTTCTTGTGCTGGAAGTACAGGAAACAGTCGTAAGTTTTGCGTTTTATCAATCCTCTGTAGTACTTAATCATTGCTCTTATACTTCTACCTTTGCTCCAATGCTCTTTGAATGTAGTGGTAAAGCACAAAGGAGGACACCTTTAATTTTTCACCTAAATCAGGTTGTACCATACAAGAGCCATAATGGAGTGTTGATGCCTCACTAATGCAAATCATACTTCCCAAACGACAGTTCTGAGTAGTGCAATGTTTAATCGATCCATTATGTAAGGTGATGTATTCCCGTATTTTGGTACAGATACAAAAGTCAAAGTGAGTTTAATGAGCTGGTGAATGAGCCTGGACGGAAGTTGATCATGCAGGAGAAGGTGTCTCACGATGATTTGTACTTACAGAATAATAATTATTACAGGGCTAGCTAGGGCTGAGGGGAATTAACACTGAATTCAAACCTACCTGGGACAGTTGCTTCATTTACTCCTGCTTTATAGTGACAGGGACCCGCCTGTAGTCTAATTAGCTAGGCAATTTCAACAAGCTGGCATTGGATTTTGTCGGGGGTGTGATTGGTATATGTTTTCTTGAACTTATTAACCCTCAGCGCAGCGAGGGTTACTGTACTTGGTCTGTCTGTCTGTCTGTGTGTCTGTCTGTCCGTCCTCGCAAGTTCTCGCACTACAGGCTACGAGGCGGCCAATGAGTGGAACCAACAGCTTTTGAACAATGAGAACATGGACACTAATGTGGCGATTTTCCTGAAACGACCGCGTTCCAGAGACATGGCGTGAAAACTAGCGAAAAAGCCAACGTGCGATGCAATCACGCATGCGCCCTTGCCGTTAGGCTACACTGGTGCGTAAGCGTCGGGTTCAGTTTCTCGCCAGAGTATGCGCATACGCCATGTGGTTGTATAGGATCGACGGTATATATGGGCAAGTCTTGTCTCTCCTCTGTCAGTTTTAATCGCTCTTTTCTTTGTTCCAAGTGGACAGCAAGTTGAGAAAGGTATGTCCGCAATGTAGCATAACAGTTCACGTGAGACGAGCAGTTTGTGGATGCGGCCATGCCTTCCCATCTAAATGCAAAGCAGAGTCTGGCAATGTATTAAAACCCAGAAGAGAGTATAGATTGATAAAGCAAATGTGAGAGCCTCTGAGAAACACCTGAGCAATTGCTCTAACCGCTAAGCCCTCTGATGCAACCACATCTAGCCTGTGTTACAGCCAGACTCATGTTACTGGCTCCATCGACGACGCATATGGCCAAGAATACAGCAACGCTACAACGCGCACATTTGGCGCCGAGGGGTTTGCACTTTAGTCTTTCATGTATACAAGTGAAAAATCATTCTTCAAAAAGAGAGAAACTAGGAGTCACTACACAGCAAAGATGCACTGCCTTGTAGCTTGTGCATCTTTGCTGTGTGAATGGCCCCTTGTTCTCCTTTTTGGTGCTTCAAGCCATCCCTATATCTAAATATTTTTAAAAAACAGGTATGACAACACTGCATTTCATGGGTACAGTAGAACTCTGATGTTCATGGGTAGGTGTAAAGACGTTGACCATTGACAACTCTAACCACTGAATGAAGCAGTAGATAATGGACAGCTGGTGCCTGAAGGCAGGGTGTAGACGTAGCAGAGACAGAGATATCCACCCCATCTACTGTCTTTTACGAGGACGTAATTTATAGGTTATGGTACACATTGGCGGTTTCATGGGCAATCAGACTACAATGCTAGACTACAACCTAAGGCACTAAGATGGCCTCTGGCGTCCGGCAAGAGCTAAGGCCCCACATACACTATACAGTTGTATTAAGCGCTGCTGCTATATGCAACGCAGACTCTGCGATAATGTTGTCTCTAGCAATACGTGTGAGTAGAGTCTACAGAGGGTCACTGGAGACTGAAGTTACGTACACGGTCTAGCACAGTTTGTCAATCTCGCCGTGCATATGGCCATAGTTTATCCTTGTGTCTAGTTATACCTCGCTGGTTTTGAGATACACGTGACGCCTTCTATTTCTAGTCTGGAACCTGGATGGTCGCACCGCATCGGTCCCGAATCAGTCACCAGACATAATATATTGTTCCTTTATAGGGGAGGCTGTCCTCGCTGTCAGATGTGTAGAATTATGTGTAGCGAGCTAAGTACCGTTATGTGACCTAAATCTGTCCTTGAGCCGGTATTTATGTGTTTCAGCGTGTCTTTAGCGTGTGCTTTATTGTGGGTTCATAGCTGTATATGTGTGTTAATAAGTAACACAGACAACAATTAGCCCAGGCAATACATTATAATAGGATCTCATGTGTCAGGGCGACCTCACTCGACAATGGTGAGAGAGGCCTGTGACATTCGAAAAACTTTGTAGTATATATTAGTATACACGACATGTTTTCATACCATCACATTGCAAACACTCACAACCATTAAGTTCGTGAAACAATGCACACCAAATAGCGCTCTGGGCACTTCTTAGATACTTCACTCTCAGCATTCTATGGTAGGACAGCATAAGATGGTTTATGCTATGAGACATAGTACATCACTCAGGAGAATATCAAGGTTTGCAATGTATGACCACTGTGTGTGTTAAATACAAGTTAGCCCAAGGCAGCACATTTCTTTAGAAAGCATTACTTTGCGTCACTCTTCTAACATGTACTCGACACGGGACGGATGACACTTGATGCACATGCATAGTACATCATTTCCATGACAACTACATATTGTTTGAATGCTCAGGCACTTCTTATCAAACGTGCTAAGGTAGCACGCATGGAGATGAAACTTTGTATATTCATCATGTCTTTCTCAATAGTCTCCAAAGCTGGTCTACAACTTCATGCACAGCTGCAGCAATCATCACAAACGCAGCAAACACCATCAGTATGTGCAGGCAAAATTGTGATTGCTAGCATTATCTATTCCCTTAGACCTTCCCGGCTGAACGTTAGACAGTGTCACAAGACACAAGACCAGCAGATAAGACCTGTCCATCTTGTCAGTGCTCCAGTGAGTTGACAACTATTTTCACAGCAGTAAACACTCTGGCAAAAGTGGTATCTGTCTCAGAGTCTAGCTCTTTAGAGAGGGAAATGCTACTCTTTGTAGTCCAACTTCAAACAATCCGTTGCTTGGTATACGCTGTATTCAGAGTTTTGTCCAAAGTTTACACAACAGTCCATTGGGTTTATACATTAGTAGGATGATGCAGCAGAAACAGACAAACAAAAGCAACCTGGACAGTGGTTGCCCAATCTGAACCCCCCTGCTCACAGTTATCCTCACCTTGTTTCAATGTGACGAATCTAGTCTCACTTCTGCTATGGCTCACGTCTTGTCTGTGTTGTCCCAGCCTGCATGTCTATAGTTTCTGTTGTTCCTCACCTATTCTGCTGTTCTGTCTTTATTTTCTCGCCTTGTTTTCACTTGGGCCTACAGTCACTAATTGAATTTTTTCTTCCAAGGTTGACACAACAATCCATTGGCATTAGTAGGATGACGCAGCGGAGAACAGACAAACAAAAGCAACCTGGACAGTGGCTATACACTCAGCCCCTGATGACAATTTATTCTCACCTTGTTTCCCTCATTCTCATTATGTCATACACTATGTGCACCACTTCAGCTCTGGCTCACGTCTTGATATATAATTATAGTAAATAAAGGAAGAAACAAAGCAGGTGAGAAGTGTTCCATATAATACCTGTGAGTGGAGGGAGCCATTCGACACAGGTTTCTGAGGACAAGAGCAGCTGTCACACGAACTGTCTTCGTCAGAGGAGATTCCACTTCATTCTGGAGCCAATGAAAACCTTCCTTACTCCCTCCTCCTGCTATTTGGTGCGAGGGTAGTTTCCATGGCAACCACACCTGAGCGCATGCTCAGTAGGTACATAAACTACAGCGCATACGTACTGTGATGATGTGGACATGAAAAATCAAATTGTCACATTGTAGAATGTATGTGCATTGTAAAAACATGTGTGTATTTAATATTGAGCCCAACTTGAGCCTTTTTCTACAATCAGTACTAACAAGAGTGAAGGACAGTACGCAGCTACTTGACATACAATTCAACCAGTTCCACTGCTATGTTTTCATTTTGTATGGAACTACATTCTCAGTTCAAGATCATTGCTAGTTGTCTGATTGAGGGTTTTGGTGAAATATGGAGGATTGTGGAGAGAGCAACATGTACTGGTGGAGTGACAGTGTTCACCATCCCAGAGAGTGTCATTGGAGTGGAAGCTGTACTCTGCAGTATAATTTCGGTGCCCAGAATACACGTACTCGGACTCACAGAAGTAATCTTCTCCAACCAATGGTGGGATTGGTATAATACCACAAATGTCACATGGACAGTTGCTGCGGCGGTATTGTGAGGCTAGCCATGTCAGACTTCATATTCTTCAGGTCTTTCTGCATAGTCTCGAAACCTGGTCCTACGACTTCATGCACAGCTGCAGCAATCCTTACAACTGCAGCAAACACATCGTGCAGGGCAAAATTGTGATGCCAAGCATTATCTATTCTCTTACCATCACATTGAGACTGTCCCAGCTGAACGTTAGACAGTGTCACTAGACACAAGACCAGCAGAAAAGTCCTGTCCATCTTGTCAGTACTTCAGAGAGTTGACAACTATTTTAACAGCAGTAAACACTCTGGCAAAAGTGATATCTGTCTCAGAGTCTAGCTCTTTATAGAGGGAAATGCTACTCTTTGTAGTCCAACTTCAAACAATCAATATACGCTGTATTCTGAGCTGTGTCCAAAGTTTTACACAACAATCATTAGTAGGATGACAGAGCAGAGGACAGACACAAAAGCAACCTGGACAGTGGCTACACACTCAGCCCCATCTGGACCCCCTGCTGACAGTTTATCCTCACCTTGTTTCCCTCATTCACAGTCAATATGTCATACACTATGTGTACCACTTCTGCTCTGGCTCACGTCTTGATAAGAAGAAATGAAGGAGGTGAGAAGTGTTCCATAAAATACCTGTGAGTGGAGGGAGCCATTCGACACAGGTTTCTGAGGACCAGAGCAGCTGTCACACGAACTGACTTCGTCAGAGGAGATTCCACTTCATTCTGCAGTCAAATAAAACCTTCCTTACTCCCTCCTCCTGCTGTTTGGCGTGCGTGTAGTTAACCCTCGGCGCGCATGCGCAGCGAGGGTTACGGTAGTTGTCTCGTAAGTGTGTCAGTCTGTCATTACCCTCGGCGCGCATGCGCAGCGAGGGTACTGTAGTTAACCCTCGGCGCGCATGCGCAGCGAGGGTTACTGTAGTTGGGTTTGTCTGTTTGTCTGTCTGTTACTCTCAATCTCACTTCTCGAGTGTTTGTTCGTCTCACAAAGGATACCATCTACCCAATGGGCGACGAAGCTCAGAAAATAAAGGCGGTTTTCTCTGAAAATGCTCCGTTGCAGAGCTAGAGCGCTTCCAGCATTGTATGGCTAATACCGGTAGTCGCCATTTTATCGCTGGCGGAAAATGCGCATGCGGTTATATTTAGCACAGGCTTACCTCGACCGGGTCCGCTTGCTCTGTCTATCTTGAAGGCACAAGAAGTCATAACGAATGGCGTGTATCGACTCTCGCGTGCTATCTACTACTGTAGCTAGCCCGTGTCACACTCTCTGCGAGCTACTTCGCCGAGGGTTTGCACTTTAGTGCTTTTCATTAGGTCTGTCTGTTTGTCTGTCTGTTAGTCTATATCTCACTCCTCGAACGTCTGTTCGTCCCAGAAACGATACCATCTACCCATCGGGCGACGAAGGTCAGAAAATAAAGGCGGTTTTCTCTGAAAATGCTCCGTTGCAAAGCTAGAGCGCTTCCAGCATTGTATGGCTAATGCCGGTAGTCGCCATTTTATCGCTGGCGGATAATGAGCATGCGCTTATATTTACGACCGGGTCCGCTTGCTCTGTCTATCTTGAAGGCACAAAGAAGTCCAACGAATGGCGTGTATCGACTCTCGTGTGCTATCTACTATTTAGCTAGCCTGTGTCAGACTCTCTGCGAGCTACTTCGCCGAGGGTTTGCACTTTAGTGCTTTTCATTCTGCCTGTTACCACGTTTTCTGCCACCGCGCGCACGAAATCAGGTAAATAACGATATGATCGGGTTCAGTGCTACACTGGGTTGATTTTAAAAAAGGCGATTTTCGTAAAACTACTGTGTTTTAAAGTTATGGCGTGAAACCCAAGTGAACAAGCCAATATGTAAATTAGCACAGGCTTACCTCGACCGCGTCCGTTCGCTCTGTGTGTCTTGAAGTCACAACGAAGGGCATGTATCGACTCACGCATACTATTTACTACTGTAGCTAGCCCGTGCCAGACTCTCCGCGAGCTACTAGCGGGATACCACGAGTAAAGGCATAAAAAACCCAGCCCATCAATTACTGGTACCGCACATGCGCAGTTCGCCGAGGGTTGTTGCCCTTTAGTGCTTTTCATTTCCATGGCAACCACACCTGAGCGCATGTGCAGTAGGTAGATACAGAAACCAGCGCGCGTTCGTGCCGTGATCAAATGATGATGTGGACATGAATCACATTGTAGAATGTATGTGTATTGTAAAAGCGTGCGTATATAATATTGAGCCCAACAACCTGGGCCTTTTTCTACAATCAGTGCTAAGAAATATATGAGTGAAGGACAGTACGCAGCTACTTGACGTACAAGTCAACCAGTTCCACTGCTATGTTGTCATATGTTATGCGGTCAAAGAGACAAATTCTCAGTTCCAGGTCATCGCTAGTTGTCTGGTTGAGGGTTTTGGTGAAATATGGAGGATTGTGGAAAGAGCAACATGTACTGGTGGAGTGACAGTCTTTACCATCCCAGAGAGTGTCATTTGTAATTCTGCGCCATTCATACCCAGGATACACATACCCTGACTCACAGAAGTAATCTTCCCCTACAAATGGTGGGACGGATACAATATTGCCAATTTCACATGGGCAGTGAGTGGGTTCTAGTCGTGTACTATTCTCCAACTGTCCATTAGCAAATGTCCAGATGTGTTGTCGAGGACTGCCATGCATTACAGCAACACCAGCAAAATAGGCACTGTCAATTGTAGTTTGTCCAGTATAATATCCATAGAAGGCATCTGGTTGTCCATACTGGTAGGCTCTGATCCTACCACACACCTGACTGTATGGTCCTCCACTGACAGGGAAGAAGACTGAGTCACAAGTCCCAGATCCAGTACTAACTTTGCCACAAGTTCTCTTGGAGTATCCAGTGAGCTGCCAGCCAGAGCAACAGCTGGTGTTGGGTTCTGTCATATCCAGGTAGACTGCACGTCTCCAACCCCATGTTCCTCCACATTTTGACCCTCCAGTGTTATTAACGATCTGTTCTGTCAGGCTCTGGTTCATTCTCATTAGTTGAGTAGTAATTTGATAGTCATGTTCGTAAATCTTGTCACATATCATGTTGGCTGTGCTATTGAGACCATTTAACCCTCTCTCGACACCTCTGAAATCATCTCTCATTGATTCATTCAGAGAACCCAGTCTGGTGTCAAGTTTCTCAACCTCTTCTGTGAGATTATCAACCTTTTGACTGAGGCTTGCTATGTCAGACTTCATATTCTTCATGTCTTTCTCAATAGTCTCCAAAGCTGGTCCTACAACTTCATACACAGCTGCAGCAATCCTCACAACTGCAGAAAACACATCTTATTGTGATGCCAAGTACTATCTATTCCCTTACCGTCAGATTGAGACTCTCCCAGCTGTACATTAGACAGTGTCACTAGACACAAGACCAGCAGAAAAGACCTGTCCATCTCAGAAGGCGTTCAGGCTCCCTGCAATGCATGCACCACTACAGCCAAGCTAACTATATATATGTACAAGATAACCCTGGCGTTACAAAACAGAGGTAAGCTAAAGAATCTCATTAGGTTGCACTATACACATGCTGATAAAACCACCCTCCATACCAGCTTGCATAAGTTGGGGAAGATTAGCAGATACACTGAAACAACTACAGACACCTTTGAACAACCTTATGCAGCTTTCTCTGAGGTTGAAAGACTGATGAAATGTATAATACAATCATTAGGGAGAGCTGTATGAGTATTCAGTCAACTGATGATGTGTGACAGTGTTATTATGAGGGTTAGCAGCGAGAGAGGGAGGAGGAGAGGTTTAAACAGGTGAGACACTCTGTAATAGCGTGAGCAGCTTCTCTGTCAGACAGAGCCACTTCACTTAGTTTGTGTTCATGTCTCCTTATCTGACTGTTGGGAGAGAGGGAGTGAGGGTAATGAAGTAAGAGAGGGATTATATACATATGTATATAGAACATGTGGGTGTCAGGATAAAATGTACTAAAAGAGGAAGAAACAAAGCAGGTGAGAGGTGTTGTATACCAGTGAGTGGAGGGAGCCATTCGACACAGGTTTCTGAGGACCAGAGCAGCTGTCACACGAACCGCCTTCGTCAGAGGAGATTCCACTTCATTCTGGAGCCAAAGAAAACCTTCCTTACTCCCTCCTCTCCCCCCTCTCTCACACACTCTCTCTTACTTCAAGAAGAGGACAATGTTTCAGTTTTGCGAGAGTAACTGCCACAGAGGGTGGAATGGGCTTGGAACCTGGGCACCGTGAACCCTGAATTCAGCGCATGCGCGCGCATGCCCCCATCGACGCGCGGCACAAACGTCTTCTCAGCTATGTATAAAAATGTCCAGCAATTCAACGTCATCTCTAGGATGTAGCCCACGCGGCCAGACCCCTCAAGTCATCGTCCTCGTTTGCTGCCGATTTCTTCTTCCGCGATGCAGCGACAGGCACGGCTTGTGTGGGGACATCGGGAAGCTGTAGCTCAGAGCCGTCCTCCAGAGATGCGGACGAGGGCGTTTGCACATCCAGCAAATTATCCTCTAGCACCTTCTGTTCCAGCTCCTCGAGTTCAGCTAGAAGCTCCTCCTCGTCAAACTCCTCACCGAGCGGTACGAAGGCGTCCGAAATCTCCCGCGCTATTTCGTTTTGCTCCGCGATATCGTCCATCATATCGTGGATATCGTCGACTTCCAGTTGTCGGTGGGCCGCCTTGAGGGCCTTGGCGGCGTAGCTCATGTTCTTCAGGACTTCAGTGTTTGTCTGTGCGTTCTCCAGAGACTCTCTCTGGAACTCTATCGTTGAGAGTGTTCCGTCGATCTGCCGAAGCTGTTTCTCTAGTCTCTTCTTCCTCTTCAAGGCATTCAGAGCCATTCGTTTGTTCTTCGTTCCGTTCTTCTTGGCCGTCTCTATCTCCTTGTCGATCTTGCTTTCTAGAAACTCCGTCTTTTTGTTCAGTATCTCTTCCGTCTCCCTCAGTTTCTGAATGGCTTGTTGCGGCGAGGGTGGCTCGCCCTTTTTTCCAAACCCGAATATTTTCCCCACCATATCCATTTTAGCAAGCGGCAAGTAGCTCGAAACGTCTACTGGAAGGTATCTTCGTGTTGTGGTTCGCTTCTCCTACGATGCTGACTCATTGTGTATGTTTCCATACGTCAATGCCAAAAATGACCATGTGACTCTCTATATTAGCTAAAGTGGACATAATTAGCGATACGATGATGTACTTACACAGATTTGTGAATGAGCATAGGTAGCTATATCTACAGGTCTACAGTATATTCTCCTATGATTTATAAAATATAACGGTCGTTTTCCTGAAGTAAGGTATCGCACTACTCCCGCTTCCACGCGAGTTAGGAACGTAAATCTGGACAATTGCGGGTGGCGAGGGCAGTGCTGATATGCATCAGTAAAACAATGCTTCGTCCGGACTATCTGGACACTCATATGTATGGGAGGTGATTCGTGCCAAAATTCGACGATGTGACGAACCCGTTTTATTCGTCTGGAGGAGGCGTGGCTCGTCGGGCGGAGGCGCGTTTGTTCCAGTGGAGAGGCGCCTCTCCACTCGAAGAAACTTGCCTCCTCTCGACGAGACACGCCTCTCCACTGGAACAAACGCGCCTCCGCCCGACGAACAAAACGGGTTCGTCACATCGTCGAATTTTGGCACGAATCACCTCCCATACATATGCGCATGCGTGCCGCATGTGCGCGGACATAATTATGTGCGCTGCGAAGGCGCGTACGTTTAGCAGGCGGATGTTGGCTAGCTAAAATAAGCGCAATTGCGTTCAGTATGATGCTGATGCGAGGGCGCGCTAAACAAAACGCGGGTCCTAGATCAGATGTAGGCGAAACGGGCACCATGGCGTACGCAGGAGTCCTACGGACGTAATATCACCACGGACCGGTCTGCACAAGCAGTAGCGGGACTGAAAAGCGGTAGTTGGGTGCGGTATAACAGTTTTTTTTTACAATGACACGAAGAATAAAGAAGAGTGTGAGACAAAAAAACAAAGGAAAAGGTCGGATTCTCACCAAACGTAGATGAAAGCTTTTTGAATCAAAAATACTGTCCATCTCACTAGAAAATGACCAAATCCCTCAAACCTTAGATGCATCTTGCCAGTACATGCAGCACTGATTTGAAGGTAAAATCAAGTAAATTTTACACATTCCTCAGTTTTTCTGCAGGTTCGTAGGTAGCTATGGCAGTCACGAAAAAGAATGCTCATGCATTCTCTGCGTGTTTTCCCCCACACTAGAGCTACTTTATGCTGAAGTCAAAAATGTTGGAAAGGGTGTACCCCATAATTATAAGCCATGCATCTGTTGCACAATGTGCGAACAGCTCCACTCATAGAAGAGGTAAGTTGCGCCTCATTCAGAGGGATACTGAAAAGACTGTAAAGAAACACTCGTACACTTCTTTTGTTCTCATCAAAGTGGACGATGAACAAGACTACACCTATTCACACTTCAATACATGTCTCTACTAAAGCTGAAGCACGAAAGACCTTTTCATTTGTAGAACATGTTCACAAGTGTGACCTAACAATAAAAGACAAGGGCCCTGTCTTCAGGCAAAGACCGAGTGTTGTACGTGAGGACAAGGCTTGTCGGATGATGGTATAAATGGAGATCAGAGTGCTTCAAACGATTTACTGCATTGGCACGGTTGAAGAACCCTCTGTCCTTCTGTACTGTGCTCTAGCTACTTCAACCTGCAGATTCCAGTCCCGAGGTGAGTTTGTGTAGGGAACTTTCTCTCTCTGTATTATGCTTAAAAGTAACTCCTGAGTGACAAATATCCACCGTTCTCCCACAGAGGTCTTACCACCATGTCTGGGAACGGTACAGAAGTCCACACCGGTGGGGATGACGACACGTTCTGCAAGAACGATCCTCATCTGTACGTCCAGATCTTTGGCACACTCATCTTCTTCCTGGCCTGGCCTCTCGTGGTGCTAGACACAAAGTACTTTCCTCTCGGACGTCCGGCAGCTGCTCTCGTCGGCGCAGCTTTCATGGTCATCTTCAACATCATCTCCCAGGACGAGATCTACGAGATTGAAGGCAGGATGGGGAACCTTCAGGCCCTCTTCCTGCTGGTCGGCATGATGACCATGTCCTACTACTTTGATCGCGAGGGACTGCTCAGTATGGTTGCTCTCTACATCTTTGGAGAGGGAAAACCAATGAAGGCGGTTCTGTGGAGAGTGTGTCTGCTGGCTGGTGTCATGGCTGCCTTCATCACCAACGACGCCACTGCTCTCGTACTCAGTCCACTGCTCTTCAAAGAATTCATCCGACAGGGCCGACCAAAACGCGAACTGCTCCCACTAGCCCTGGGTATCGCAACATCAGCCAACATCGGGAGCTCTTCCACCGTCTTTGGGAACCCACAGAACGCCTTCATCTCCTCGGCAGCCGGAATCCCTCTCATCGACTTCTTCACTGCCCTTCTCCCCGCCGCCATCCTGGGTCTGGCTATCAGCATCGGCATGCTACACCTCATCTTCATCCGAGAGCTCTTCGGAATTTGGGTCAAAAAGGGCGACGACGAGGAAGAAGCCACAGATAACGTCGAAATGGATAAGGTTGCAGCACCATCTACATCAATCCCCGAAGAGAGGCACACAATGGCAATGGAGATGGATCCCAGTGCGGATCCCTACCTCTCCAGTCAGATTGCGGAGGAGCGTGAGCGCATGCAGCAGACCAACCCTCGCCTCACTCCCTCAGGTTCCCGACACAGTCTGCGTGTAGCCAAGAGCCGCAGCGGGTACAGTCTTCATTCCGACGAGAAGACGGAAGGGCAAGCCAATGGAGATGTCCAAACAGAAGATGATGAGCCGGTCAACAGGATCAAGCCCTTCAAGGAGCGCACGTGGAAAGAGCTGATTTTCGCTGGCTGGCTCTGCTTCATCATGCTGTTTGTTGTCGTTCTCCTCACCATCCCTCCACCACCGACCGTCAAGTCAAAGTTCAACCTGGGTCTCATTCCACTCGGTGCCAGCATCCTCACCATGTTGGTCGATTCCATCATCAACCGCAAATACGCCTTCGACGCCATGGCTCGCGTGGACTGGACTGTGGTGCTCATGTTCATGGGTCTCTTTGCCTGGATTGGAGGCTTCCAGAACACCTGCATCCCCAAGCGCATCTTTGACGGCCTCGCCGAGTACATGAACCTGCACACCTTTGGTGGAGTCATTCTCTTCACAGTGTTTGTCATCGTTGGAGCCAACATCTTCAGCAACGTTCCGCTCACCATCCTCATCATCGACCGACTCCCCGATCTCTGTGGGGATGAGAAGTGCACAGGTCCACTGGGTGGTCTCATCCTTTCCTGGGTGGCCACCATCTCAGGCAACACTTCCCTCATCGGCTCCATCTGCAACCTCATTGTAGCAGAGAAAGCTCGCAGCACGCTCAACTATCAGCTCACCTTCCTTCGCTACGCCCGGTTTGGCCTGGCTTCGGCACTGCTGGTCATCTACTGTGGTCTACCATTTGTGTATTTCCTGGGCCGCTATGCCACATAAAATCTTTCTGCCTTTACTAAACTTCGAACACATTAGGACATAAAGTAGAGTGTTTGTTTTGTTTGTAGGCTGTATTAGGCGTAAATTATATCAGAGCTCTATAAACAAATTAACATATTATTTATCTATTGTAATTTATGTTCTATGCTATAAAAATGCGAGCGAGAGTTGCATTGCAGTAAGATCAAAGTGCAACCATCACAGTTTGAAGACTTCCATTGTTTAAGAGCTTGAATACTATAGCCTCACAAGCTTGGATCACAAATCTTGTACTAGAACATTGCGTCTTTTAGAACAGCTGTTGACTAAATGGTTGCACTTGTCCAGCCATTGAGACTAGAACATGTAGTGACAAGGAAAACAGCGAATTGCCGATTGTAAACTCAACAAACACATCAATGGGCGAACATAGTGAGATCATCTATATAGCTATTAAATACGCACAATAGCTTTACATGCCAGCAATGCACTAAAATTATATGAGTCACAATGGAAAAGGCAGAGACACCTCAGTGTGCTATGCTTTGAAAGAACTTGTTGGGAAATAACTGCTATGTATTATAGTACATAGGAGGAAAATTGAACGCTATGCTTATCAGCCCAAGATTGTCATGTGTTCTAAGGCGGGTGTTCACTTAAACGAACCATCACTATATTACGACAAATGTGAATGTGTCAGCCGTGTGACAAGTGTTACGCATCCTCAGCCTAAAGAAAGCTTAAGGCTGAATGAAGAGGGGGTTTACAAAATGTAGGTAGCTGCTGACTTATGCTTATTATAGGTGAGTGTATATGCACATTATAGTAACTGGGTAGAATGATACCTACACACCATATACCTTAAAAGTCTAACTGATAGCTGTACAGTGCCAAATGTATAAAGCTCACTCACAACATGTATATATAGAAGCAATCTTTGTATATGTAGCTATCAGATCTTTTCCTTCTAACAATGATTGAGGCCTATATACATAAAAAAACTTTACAGCTCCATAAGCAGGTAATTCATGTATACGGCAGTATTAATTTTTGCAGCGAATGGGAAGTCACAAGGAATGTTTTAGATTTTGTCTGTCACACATACATATGCAATACACACACATACATATATATGCAATACACACACATACATATATATGCAATACACAACATACAATGCAGTCAATCAACAACTAAAGAATTGTAGGAGAAATACACTAAGACGGCTAATTTTTTTCTAGTGTACATGCAAAGTTTGTTCTATGTGGCGTAGCGGCCCAGGAAATATACAAATGGTAGACCACAGTAGATGACCAGCAGTGCCGAAGCCAGGCCAAACCGGGCGTAGCGAAGGAAGGTGAGCTGATAGTTGAGCGTGCTGCGAGCTTTCTCTGCTACAATGAGGTTGCAGATGGAGCCGATGAGGGAAGTGTTGCCTGAGATGGTGGCCACCCAGGAAAGGATGAGACCACCCAGTGGACCGGTGCACTTCTCATCCCCACAGAGATCGGGGAGTCGGTCGATGATGAGGATGGTGAGCGGAACGTTGCTGAAGATGTTGGCTCCAATGATGACAAACACTGTGAAGAGGATGACTCCACCAAAGGTGTGCAGGTTCATGTACTCGGCGAGGCCGTCAAAGATGCGCTTGGGGATGCAGGTGTTCTGGAAGCCTCCAATCCAGGCAAAGAGACCCATGAACATGAGCACCACAGTCCAGTCCACGCGAGCCATGGCGTCGAAGGCGTATTTGCGGTTGATGATGGAATCGACCAACATGGTGAGGATGCTGGCACCGAGTGGAATGAGACCCAGGTTGAACTTTGACTTGACCGTCGGTGGTGGAGGGATGGTGAGGAGAACGACAACAAACAGCATGATGAAGCAGAGCCAGCCAGCGAAAATCAGCTCTTTCCACGTGCGCTCCTTGAAGGGCTTGATCCTGTTGACCGGCTCCTCATTCTCGGCCTCCTGTGCCTCCTTCACCTTCATGCTGTGTCGAGATCCTGATGGTGTAAGGCGGGGGTTTCCATCTTGCATTCGGTCGCGCTCCTCTGCGATCTGACTGGAGAGGTAGGGGTCAGCGCTGGGGTCCATCTCCATAGACATGGCGTTCCTCTCCTCGGGAATGGTTCCACTGGTTTGTGCGACACGCTCCATCTCCACCTTCTCCGGTGGTGGCTCTTCTTCGTCTTCGTCACCCTTTTGCAGAAAGAGCTCTCGGATGAAGATGAGGTGTAGCATGCCGATGCTGATAGCCAGACCCAGGATGGCGGCGGGGAGAAGGGCAGTGAAGAAGTCGATGAGAGGGATTCCGGCTGCCGAGGAGATGAAGGCGTTCTGTGGGTTCCCAAAGATGGTGGAAGAGCTCCCGATGTTGGCTGATGTTGCGATACCCAGAGCTAGTGGGAGCAGTTCGCGTTTTGGTCGGCCCTGTCGGATGAATTCTTTGAAGAGCAGTGGACTGAGTACGAGAGCAGTGGCGTCGTTGGTGATGAAGGCAGCCATGACACCAGCCAGCAGACACACTCTCCACAGAACCGCCTTCATTGGTTTTCCCTCTCCAAAGATGTAGAGAGCAACCATACGGAGCAGTCCCTCGCGATCAAAGTAGTAGGACATGGTCATCATGCCGACCAGCAGGAAGAGGGCCTGAAGGTTCCCCATCTTGCCTTCGATCTCGTAGATCTCGTCCTGGGAGATGATGTTGAAGATGACCATGAAAGCTGCGCCGACGAGAGCAGCTGCCGGACGTCCGAGAGGAAAGTACTTGGTGTCTAGCACCACGAGAGGCCAGGCCAGGAAGAAGATGATGGTGCCAAAGATCTGGACGTACAGATGAGGATCGTTCTTGCAGAACGTGTCGTCATCCCCACCGGTGTGGATGTCTGTACCGTTCCCAGACATGGTGGTAAGACCTCTGTGGGAATAGATATCAAGTACTTACTATGGTTTGTTTCAGGCTAAGGAGATTGCTAGTAGTGAGTAGGCCAATAAAGTTCTTCAAGTGTACCTATCTTGCAGCAAGCATTCTTCACCAAGCCAAAGAATAACATCATCACTAGTAGAGCTTACCTTCCGACTGGTACTTGTGGATGTTAACGAAAGATAGAGATAGTGGGCCTCAAGACTACCTCACACCAGTGAGCTCCAGCTATCGTATTATTACCTTTTATACCTGCACCAAGATGAGACTGTTCTCAGCCTGTTCGCAGTATTGTACCCAGAGAACTACACGTGTATCCTATTCAGCTTGAAAAAGAAGTGTGGACAAAGAGACCCCAAAAGATACTGGGGCCCTTCGGATAAGCAGACATTGTGCTAACACTCGTCCCTATAGAGCCACAATGGGGCTTGTAACTGCTCACAAAGTTGGCTAAGACTCAATGCGTTCTTAGCCTTCTAAAACTGCACGGCATTGAGAGAAGGTGTGAGTGTGTTTGCTGTGTCACTCTGTGCGTACCAACCAAAACGTTGAAAGTTGAAGGCTTCGGATCATTGTGGGAGACAGACTGAAACACAGCAACCACGGTTTAGGTAACACTGTGTGATAAAGCCAGTAACACTCTAAGTGGCAAGATACTATAGCCTGATTAATAATAACTGGCAGTTCTTGTCATAATCGTAAGAAGAAATTGTGTACTCATTCGCTCGTACTTCGGACACAAGACATCAATCACAAAGTTTTGAAAAAGGAGTGTGTAACTTTACCATTGCCATGCCGTGTAGCTTTGAAAGAGATTAATATGTCATGGCATGCCAATAGGGCACATGTGCTTTATCTTCCGTGTGTTGTTCACATGCAAAATAGCCCCACTTTGTATCAAACTGGCATACATAATGTCCCTTAAAACATGCAAGAAAACACTTCTTTGCCGTAGTATATACCAACATACTCTTTTCCTCTAGTATATAACTGCTATGATGACGCATCGCATCACTATAGTATGATGTTCAAAATGGAATACATTTTCTGTTATAATAGTGTTATAAAGGGGGAAGAAATTGCAAATTTCCCGCATAGTTATGGTGGTGGCATGCCATGCTCGACAATCTTTGCGAAAAAGCGAGTTAGGTGTTTGTCAGAAAGGTCACGTCACACAAATTGCTCCACCACATATTGACGCAGCAGTGAAATTGTACACATACACAAGCTTATTTCTCTACTAGAAGGTTCACAGTCTTCCTTCATTAGGTTGTGTGGCTCTAAACACCTTGTCTTGGACTCAACATACACAACTTTACTAGCATCCTTACCGTAGAAACATGAAAAGTCATCCAGAGCGGAATATCGAAAGGGCGGCCAAGGAACTGCCGACCGCCACTGCGTTCCGGAAAGAGATGGATATAAAGGAAAAGCGCCTGGAAGAACCGAAGAGAGAGACGCAGTGTCCCGGTCAATGTCCCACTCTATGGCAACAGCTGCCCGCTACTATCATACTAGCCAAACAAGAAAGAAAAAACCTGAAGTCACCCTCCACCCTACACCCAAGTATTATACACACACGAGACAAGCAGCACACTTGCACATAAAAAGGTAGGACACGAGGTGCCCAGTCTTGAGAACTGGGGCGGTGGGTTAAAGAGTCTTTTACGGCATGCCAACTCTCCCCACACACCCAGTCTCCAAACCTCCCATGGCGATCAACCTGAAAGTCAGGCAAATGTAATCAAATAAATAAAGAGGCAAAGAAAAGAACACAACAACACTCCGGAAGCCCCTCCCAAAAAAAACAACTATTTGTTAATTTATTTAATCATCTCAAAACAAAAAAAGGAGAATGGATTTTGTTTTTAAAAAGAGCAGCGCATTAGTCCAATCCAATGAAACCGCTCCCTCCTAGTGAATCCTTGGCTGCAGTGAGTGACCTGGTAGTTGGACTGAACAAAATGACGCCGCCGGTAGCTTGGCTATGCATTGGATATGGAGTCGTCTGAGATTTTGTCCATAACCTGTCAGGATATTGAACATCATGTTAACACACACACACACACACACACACACACACACACACACACACACAGACTTAAATCAATGGATCAGACCGTTTGTCGACACACACCAAATGACAATAGCCAACTGACTACTGTACAACGTAATACATATCACTATCCACATGATTGTACGTGTTTTTATACGTCGGCAGATTCAAATCGACCAATCAGATTGCTTAAAACGTGGATTCTAAATCCACTATTTTCCAAGTGCGTGTTTCCACGGAGACGTCCACCAAAATGGTGTCTTCAATGGGGGTGTGGCAAGCTTCCGCGCAAAGAAACTCGCTCTGTCGCTGAGAGCTCGCCGCGACGAGCTTCAAACTCGCTATATCCGATGCTTCTTCGATGAAAAGCTTCTCTACGATGCAAAAAGAAACTAAAATGAAGACCTTTTTAGCTACCCCCAGCGAGAGCAAGTCTCGCGGAAGACACGATGGACCTGGACGATTTTGACGGCCAGCACGGCCTCCGTCTAAACAGGTTATACTGCTTGCCCTCGTGCCGTCTAAATCGCGTATTTCCATTGACGCACAGTATATCCTATATATAGACTAACGTCCATAAAACACATGTTATATAATTGGCGAGGACGACTGAAGGTGCGTATGAGCTCTTGGGGGACATGTATAGGTAGATATGGGCCCGTAGACTATTGCTAACCTAGTGGTCCGAACGGCGCGATTTTTCTATATATATATATATGTCACCGTACGTCGTCCAACTGCGCATGCTCCAGCATTACGCGCTTCTTTTTATCCGAAAGGGATTTCAACATTTTCATAATGCTGCCTGAATCGAGCGGAATCAGGGGAAACGCAACACCTCCGAAGCTATCGAGTATTGCTGCACAGTCCAGGAGAGATTTTTCTACATTGCCACTGTTCCCTATTCTGCAAGACCAATCAGATTGCCGGATTATGCCTGATTCGCGCTGTCGTCTGACTGTTTTGACTCGACTCGAATTAGTGCTACTGCGCTCGGTGGTTCGGCCATACTATGCGTCCCATGTGTCAATGTATCTCACTGCTTTTGTGCACACACAAGACGATGACTACAACGATTAGACCCCAATTGTAAGCGCGCTTCCGCTCGCCAAAATGCCATGCATTCGCCTACTAGTATATATACATCAGGAGAATTAGTAAGCTCTCTTGGTTGAGCGCATGCCATAGTCAATCCTACCACTGCATTCTATAGCTATAGTCAAGGTATCAGGATCGAGGTCGGAGGGCTATCGTTGCTCTCATCATTGTCGTAAAAGACGAAAAATTAAGGCCACTTCCCAGGTGACTATGTAAAGCTCAGCTCTATCTTATGTGAGTACTACCAAGGTATATAGTAGTAATCTAAGACCTATTGCAGTCCTATTTGTCTTTCTCTTCCCCTTCTATCTGGATTCAATTCTCACGCATAGTGCACTGAAAACGGTGAGCAGCACTGCCATTTGTGTGTGTTGTATGACAGTATCCACACACTTATGTGTTTCATACCACTTTGATTCCAGGAGCATTGAGTATGTGTCCAATGATAGGCATCCGTCTCAGTAGCAGCACCGCATGTGGTAGCAGTCCCCTATAATGTGTAGAAAGAAACACTCGTATGCAGAACGGCTCCGAGACATTCTATTTAGCAGTTATGGCATTTACTCTTGTATCACGTAATTCTCTCATGTGTGCGTGCTTGTCTAGCTGGCTCACTCTGTGGCCGCCATGTTGAATCCAGATTGATCATAAACTATAGAGGATAACTTTATCACCAGAACAAACGGTACACTAGTGTACTACATCTTTAACCCTTAGTGCATGCTAGGTGTGAGGTCTGCCTTGTGTTGTGTTGTGTTGTAGATTCGAACCCCTACCAGCTGAGTTGCCCTGGTAGCTCAGTTGGTAGAGTGCTCGCCTAGACTGCAGAGTGTCGTGGGTTCGAATCCCACCTAGGGCAGCTCTTTATTTAGCTGTCCTGGGTGTAGTTCATTTGTTTGTTGTGCCTTTGCCTTTCTACCTCATAGTTTTCACGTGCACAGAATCAAACCCACTCCACCAGCTGAGCTACCGGGGCAACACAGCAGGTGAAGGAATCATACAAAACTAGACAAAGGCATTGCAAGTTAGAAACACTGCAAAAAAAGTAATTCAAATGCTCACCCGAACAGAAGAAAGGCTCCGTAAATCTCTACCAGCATCCCAATGATTGGATAGCCCACGAGTACAATGAGCATTCCTCCGGCAAAAAAAGCCGTGCCCTTCAACTTGTGCGACTGGAAGAAGAATCTGTACGTCCGCTCCATGCCAATGATAAAGATGATCCCTGCAAGAAACAGGATCTGGGGAGGCAAATGGAACAAGCAATTCTTCATTCACTGCGCAGTAATAATACTCGGGTGGCAGCCGTAGCACTAGAGCCATATACCACGCACCCAGTGCAATGGGCGGAACCGTTAACAAACGAACACACACCACATGCGTGAATATACACTCACACAGGTGTCCATCTCACACAGTACAATGATTTGTAGTGACAATAAAAAATACGGATGACACCAACGATTATATAAGCAGAAACACAAATAATTTACATGACGAGAATGAAATTCTTACGCACTGACAGTAAAACGAAATGAGATAGGTCGTGGGCACTACAAATGCAATCGCTCTTGTAACACAGTGTTAATTGTGCACAGTGCCTCGGTAATCAATATGCTCACATTTCCCATGGCCAGCAGTCCTTTGTCAAAGAACAGGACGACGCCAAGGGAGAGAAAACCAAGACCAAACCCCACCAGCCCTAATCCGATCTCTGCAGGACAAAGAGAGAGAGAGAGAGAGAGAGAGCGGAAAGAGAAAAATTGCTTAGCTGGACTGCTTTCTGATTTGATTCAGGAATAGCATGCATGGGTACAATATGAGGAAGTGCACTCTGTTTAGAATATCAAGAGTCAAAAAGCTAATGGTTTTCTGTGTTAGATAGGTTTTCAATGACGTAAGGCTTACTTTGCATGTCCGTTAGCCCCATAGAGAACATTGTCGGTTCTGATCAGAGTGATACGTGCCTCGGTGGCTTGGCTATCGGCTTTCGGCTTTCGACTCCGCGGAGCTTCGTCGCAGCATGCAGAAGACTTTGACCTTCCACTCGTGCGAGTGCGCATGCGTGATCGTAGGCTGCGAATCACGCAATTTCGCAAAGTATTTTTTTGGTGATAGAACCAAAGTCCTATAAAATCGTTCATGAGAAGCTTACTTCTCATAGCATGTAGCATGATCATGAGGCTTCTTATTCAGTCAGCTACACAAGTTCTGTAGTTCCCATTATGAGAATGTATATAACAACCCCAGAGCTATCTGTCTAGATACAGCACCTGACATTAAAATCTGGATTTTGTCTCTAAAGGACCTGGCAGTGAACTTCACTCAGTAGCTAAAAAGTGGGCCAATATTCTATCTATATAGTGAGAAAGCATCTTCATCTTCAGAACTGCAGTAGCTATATCTATAGAGAGGATGTCTTCGTGCATTGGTGTTCTGATTTTCTTCTCCGGATATGTTTTATCGGTTGTAGAAGACTCGGGATTGTCTCACCACGGTGGGCACTCCACTGCAAAATATGTTGAAACCAAGTCAGATTGCAACGGCAACTACAATTTCCAGGAAAGTAAATCAATCGATGAAAGGATCAATCGGCAAGAAATCTTCTTTGGGGTATGCTAGCAGGAAGAATACATTGAGTGGTACTACAGCCAGTACCCTGAAAATTGTCGCTACCTCATGGAAAATCTCCAGTTTGAACAGCAGAGGTACTTGGTCTACTGTGATGAGGAGTGCGGCGAGCCCTATCTGAATTTCCTGAAATCCTGCGAAGATGAGTGAGCAGTCAGCTCAGTATTACAAAGACCTTTGTTACGAGAACAGTAATGGCGTGCAATGTGCCTACTATTTTCTAGCCCAAGAGAAGCTTCAACCGGCCTATTATGTTGAAAATAACTGCGACATGGCATTTGGAAATGGTAACAATTGCTCGTTTGACTGTTTCATTGCCCTGCATCAGTTCAAAAACCAACTGGGATGCTGTGTCAATAACATCTACAATCACTCCTCGGTGCACCAGGTCGCAGATTTCCAACTGTGGAGTAAGTGTGGAGTAGTACTCCAGGACGGTGCAGTGGTGGGAAAGTTTTGATCAGTTCCTCTTTGGTGACCACTGTGTTGGTGATTTTAGCTCTAATGTGACAAACGCACACTTTGTAAAACTGTTGTGCAGTTTCTGTGACATTGTAGTAGCATAGTGGTACGGCTGGCTCATAGGAAATTAAAGTAGTATATATATTGATTTTTACACTTAGCTGAACAGTATTGTACGTACGGATCATTATTATAAGCCGCGCTATAACAATACGCATGCGCAAATTACAAGCGAAACACCCACGTACAAACTTGTACTTTGACCTGATCGACCACGCCTCTTCTCTCCCTTCGCCTTTATCCGGCCGGACGGCCGAATCAGCACCGCCTCTACTATAACTTTCTGCTGACTTGGCTGCCGTCGCGTCGTCCGGTGGCGCTATTGTTTGCGGGGGCATCGGTCTGGCGACTGATCTGGGAGGAGTCAGTCCCGCGCCCAGGGTCTACAAACTTCCTTTTCTCCCCCGACGTACTTCGCTCCGCTCTCTCCACTCTCTCACTCTCTACCACTTTGCGGTCTCCCCTACTCGACCGACTGCTTAGCCGAGGAAGAAGAATGGAGGGATACGACGCAAAGTTCGACCCGCCGCCCGAGAAGCGACTGGAGTGCCCCATCTGTCTTCTCGCCCAAAGGGAACCCATGCAGACACCGTGCGGTCACCGATTCTGTTCCGCCTGTATTCTGAGAGCGCTCCGGTAAGTCAACCGGCGGGTCCTTTATGTGTCTGTTTACCGCCCGTGGGGTATTCTGGTGCGGCTCTCTAGCTAAGGCGTTTAAAAATTCGCATTTTTGCCACTGTAACTGGCGGTTGTTGTTTGAGTCTCTCTCTCTCCCCCTGTCTCTCTTCCCTTGTCCGTAGTCTCCGTCTCTCTTTCTTCACTAGACCACTATACCCCTGCTGTCTAGCCACTTTTGTACATAGGATGATTCCAGGGAAATGTATATATGTAGTTCTACATCTCTGTAAGAATGTAGTGTTTGGTCATGTATGTAACTAGTCTCAAAATTATGTGACTGTACCCGAAACCAGGCATTTAGCCTTTTTGCCTCTTGAGTACGTACGTAGTGGTGGGCCCCCATACTGTCTGTATGGGGCATTTAGTGTGTGTGTGTGTGTGTGAGAGCGTCTGAGAATCTATTTCACATGAGCATACTTTTGTACTAAACTTGTCCTTCGCGTGCGAGGTTGTAATTTGGTAAGGCTATATGAACATGTGAAAGCTACGACGTGGAATGGCAGAGGCACATCAACTATATATGAAAAAAGATGTTTATAGCATACTACAATACTAGCTAAAAGCACAAAAGTGCAAACCCTCGGCGAACTGCGCATGCGCGATACTGCTAATTGATGGGCTGGGCTATTAGTAGTATGCGTTTACTCGTGGTCTCCCGCTAGTAGCTCGCGGAGAGTCTGACACGGGCTAGCTACAGTAGTAGATGGCACGCGGGAGTCGATACACACCCTTCGTTGTGACTTCCTGAGCCCCCAAGGTATATACACAGAGCGAGCAGATCAGGTCGCAGTAAGCCCAGTGTGATTATGCATATTGGCTTTTTGGCTTGTTTTCACGGCATATCTCTCGAACGCAGTCGTTTCAGGAAAAACGCCCTTTTATTTTTCAGGCTCGTGTAGTACTGAAGCCGCTGTATCGCTAACTGGCCGCCTCGTAGCCTGTAGTGACAGAATAAGCGTCGACACACACACACACACACACACACACACACACAGACAGAACGACTACAGTAACCCTTGCTGCGCATGCGCGCCGAGGGTTAATAATATGAGAGGAAAAGAAAAAACCTTAACCCCCACCCAAATTAATAGACTCATAGAAAAATATAAAACCTCTGAAACTTACGCAGTACGACGATGCAACTTAGATAGGTTGAAATTGCCACAAACTCTTCGGCCATCTCGGAGTATGGAGATTATTTGTGGAGAATCATAATATAGTATGGTGTGGGCTTTTGCATTTCTTAGTAGTGTGTGGGACATCTGAAAAGAAGAAGAGCTGCCCTGGGTGGGATTCGAACCCACGACACTCAGCTTTCTAGTTCTACCAACTGAGCTACATTGTACATTGTACATTATACACGGACGGAGAGAGAAGTTGTTGCGCATTATGCGCGTTTTTTGCTGTGTGCTAACTCAGTTCATAAGGAAATAATATGCGTGACACTTACACAACAAGCACATGAGTGTGCTTGCATCACATGTTGTATACTGAGTATATATAATTATACAAATACAGTTATATAAAATGTAACAAACGACGACTTGTGTACATGTATATAATGTGCACAGCTGTCTTTTTAGAACTCTGGTGTAGCGTAGCGTCTCCATGAGGCAAAGGCTTTCCGTCGAGTTTGCTTGTATTAGTGGCCAAAAGGACGTGTGTTAGTTCCATTGCACTTGTCAGTGACTGTAACAGAAGTTCCGTGCAACATGTAGATCACGAGCCCTGTCTGGGTACTGCAACAGATTTGTTGGATGTGTTTGTTAACCCTCGGCGCGCATGCGCAGCGAGGGTTACTGTAGTTGGGTTTGTCTGTGTGTGTGTCTGTTACTCTACATCTCACCCCTCGAATGTCTGTTCGTCCCAGAAACGATACCATCTACCCAACGGGCGACGAAGGTCAGAAAATATGTGGCGTTTTCTCTAAAAATGCTCCGTTGCAGAGCTAGAGCGCTTCCAGCATTGTATGGCTAATGCCGGTAGTCGCCATTTTATCGCTGGCGGATAATGCGCATGCGCTTATATTTAGGACCGCAACGAATGGCGTGTATCGACTCTCACGCGCTATCTACTACTGTAGCTAGCCCGTGCGAGCTACTTCGCCGAGGGTTTGCACTTTAGTGCTTTTCATGTTTTTATCTATATGTACTGTACATTTATGTAAAGAAATTGATAGGTATGTACATGTATGCATGCATGCATACAGGGTTTTAGCTAAAGCAGGGAAGCAGGGGGTTTATCCTCCTTTTTTTTAATCCCCTCTCCTTTTTCCCTGCTTTACAGAAGCGTATATTATACTTAGGCGTGTAATAGATGCATAGAATAGTCTTTTGGAAGTGAATGTGTGGCAAGTGGTCAGTCGACCCCCACTCCCCCTCCTTTAATTGCTCCCTAGCTAAAACCCTGCATACAGTACGTGTGTGTATGTGATCGTCACACCATCCAGAGGGAAGGCCTTGGGAACATTTTACAAGTGTCGATATATAACTCTATAAGAAGTTAGAGCCTCTATAAAAAAAAGTTAGAGCAAAGCATTTCTATAGGGGAGCATAGTGTGGTGGGTCAGAGTCCTACCAGGTCTTTGACGAAAATGTGTTCTCTTGGGTGTAGTTGATATAGACTTGCCTGGTGTTGCCACCCAGTGATTCATGCACCACTGGGGATAGTGTGTGTGTGTGTGTATCATAGCCTCCAGTGGCTTCCAATACCTGATTACTAGTGTTATCTAAACCGATGTGTTGTGTTGTCTAAATCGATGTGTTGGATAGAGCTCTATATAGTATAGATCTTACCTCTTTCAATACTTGGTGGTCTCTAAGGTTCACGTTGTAAATAGCTAGGATGTGGCTCGTGCAGATACAGTCATGGACATGTGTATGGCCCTCCCCGCGTTGCCCAAAATGGCATGCATTCGCCTACTAGTAATTTGTGTAGGGACATACACATGTACCATCGGCCCATGATTTAATTTGATTGTGTTACAACATGTGATGGGTATAGTAGTATGCTGTTAGTATAGAGTGGTAACATGGCTTGTACTGCCACTAGCTAATTGGGGTGATTTGGGTGCAAGCTATTGATAACATAATGTTATCAATGTTCCCTGATACATAATCATCACAGCGAGAGTGCACATTTTGTGTAGCAGCCCGACCTCTGTCACGGTGGAAAGTGACAACCGTTTGGTGCTCAGCATTACATATATAACAGCCAGATAGTATGCCACGTTGGAATGTTCTCTGGCTAATTATGTGCACAATGTACATATATATATACATGATGGACGAGCAAAGAGAACCTGCATACATA